TAACAGTTTTCATTCACCTGAATACATGTATTTCTTTTAAGACTCAAATAAGCTTAAGAAGCCTTAAAAATTGGGGACACCCAGGTGGCTTGGTCGGTTGGGCGTCCGACTTTCGCTTGGGTCGTGATCTCGCGGTTCGCGGGTTCGAGCCCCGCGTCGGGGTCTGTGCTGACTGCCAGCTCAGAGCCTGGAGCCTGTTTCGGAGTCTGTGACTCCCTCTCTCTCTGACCCTCCCCTGCTCACTCTGTCTCTCTCTCTCTCCTAGAAATAAATTAAAAAAAAAAAAAAAAAAGAAGCCTTAAAAATTGTGTGTGTGTGTGTGTTGAGATGGGAATACCATGGGCAACAATCAACAGTAAAATTGACTATATTATGTGAGACATGGATTTTTTTATTTGTATTGATTCAGAACACTAACAAAGGTTGCAGAATAATGTTTTGGTCTTTTACTTTTTTACTGCCAAAAAATAGCTCCTTTACCTCTCAGTGTTAAAAAGTCATTTAAGTTTCAAAAATACTACTAGTGAGTTTCCTAACTTTTATAGTTTGACACATATTATTTCCAGGATGAAATTCTATTTCTACTCTATTTATTCTCAGAAATGAAATTTTGAATTCTATTTTTATTTTCCTTTTTAAAAAAAATTCTCAGTTTTATGAAAACATGCCCAAGTGCTAAGCTTGACATCTTGAGAGGAAGTAAAGGAAGGCATGATGCAGTTTTCCTAACAACAAACATGTAATAAAACATTTGCTGTTTTTGTGAGTGAAAACAATCACTTTCAAAGAAGCCACTCAATATAAATGGGAGAAGCCAAGTAAGTCTTCCTGGAAGAACTATACCTCTTAAAACAAAAGGGATTAATACTGGGTAGGATTACACATGAGTTAATATTACTTTGATTAGTCAAGAAATTAAATATTAAATCACAAATCAAGAAAATCAAGCTTATAGCAATTTTTGGAGAATTTTATCATTTCCAAATGAAAACAAAACATAAAATGAAACATCTTTTTTTATAAACAATATCCTAAGACAGATTATTGGTACTGTTTTTCCTTCAACTTTCACCTGTCAGTTCTAGCAAGCCAACATTATTTCCAGATATACTTAGTTTTTGTCAATGGATCCAGGCAACTTTTAGAAACACTAAAAAGTCTTGGGAGGAATATGGCTGTAGTTTCAGAAACTTTATATACATACCTATACCTATACCTATACCTATACCTATACCTATACCTATACCTATACCTATACCTATATATGCCTGAGGGCTTACATTTTTTTGATTCATTAATGCATTTTTTTACTTACCTAAATAATGTTGGACATACAAAGAGAAATAAATGCAGTCCCTTCCCAAAGGATTCAAGTCTGTATAGGAGAAACAAATGTATATAAAGAATCCTAGTAACATGTTGAATGAATAATAGAAATATATATGGAATAGAATAGTAGGACCAATAAAGATATGATGAGCCTTGATTAAGGGTTAACTTTAGAATTTCAGCAGGTGACACAAGGTAAGAAACAATTTAGGGGTGTCTGGATGGCTCAGTTGGTTAAACATCTGACTTTAGCTCGGGTCATGATCTCACGGTTCCTGGGTTTGAGCCCTGTGTTGGGCTCTGTGCTGACAACTCAGAGCCTGGAGCCTGCTTCAGATTCTGTGTCTCCCTCTCTCTCTGACCTTCCCCTGCTCATGGTGTCTCTATCTCTCTCTCAAAAATAAATAAAACATTAAAAAATAAAAACGAAACAGTTTAAGCACTATTAACAGCACATGAAAAATATAGCAAACTCATAGCATATCTTACAGTAATTAATAAAATAGCAAGCTAATTTATATTGCTCCTGCTTAACATACAGGCAATGGAAAGAAGTACTGATAAATGCGGTGACATAGTTGCCAGAGTCATATTTTGAAGGCTTTTTCACTAAAGAGTTTGGACATTGTACTATGAGTTATGGGGAGTCATTGAAAGTTTTTAATTAAGAGAGTGTCATGGACCAATTTACATTTCTGAAGTGTTGCCTGTATGGAGTAGAGAAAGCAATAGAGCTGTAGGCAAATATAATAATCCGAGAGAGGACAACAACAGTGGCTTTGGCTGGAGCAGTGACATTATAGCCTGTTTTTAAAAGGATGAGTCAAAATTATTTGGTGACAAATTAAACCATGTGGAGAAGAAGTAATGACTATAAGTTGACTTTCAGGTTTCTACCTTGAGAGATGCTAGGAAGCTAGTAAATAACAAAGTGAGGTACAAAGGTGGAACTGAAGAGTTCAGGTTTAAATACTCCATTATTGAATTGATAATTTTTATTGATTTAAGGGATTTCTTTTGTGAGGAGGGAATTTCCAGTAGGCAATTAGAAATATAAATCTGTTATTTAGAAGGTATAATGATTGGATATATATTTCAGAAATCAACAGATTTCAAAATATTTTTAAAGATATGGCAGTACATGAAATTTCTGAAGGAAGTTATTTAGAATAAGATGTCGTAAGAGGTTGAAGTAACATTGGATTAAAATTATTAAGAACCAATATCTAATGAGAATTTGGAGCTTGAAAGAAAATTTTTAAAAAGGAAAAAGGAATATTCCTTAATCCTAGACTATAGGCTCATTGCCTAAAATAGAAAAAGGCCATGTCTCAGAAGCAGCAGCACTGAGGAATGAAGTCTCAAACCAGAAAATCCAAAACCATAAGAACCAGAAGAATTACTAGTTTATCAAATGAATAATGAACAGTTGGCTTCTTAGTTTGAAGTGAATTTGATTCTATTTCATAGATGCTATTAGTATCTGACCTTTTGCTTGATAATATTTTAATAGAAAACATTATTATTTTTTATTCATAGTGGTTCCAGAAGTTAGCATATTTGGCTAGCTCACAATAAATGTTCACTAAATGTTTATTGATGTAGAATTTAACACACTGAATAACTGGTATGACTACTATCTTATCTAGTACTTACTAAATTCAAAAAATATCTTTATTACATTTACCGTTGAAGAAATAGATATTCAGAAAGGCTATTTTAACTATAGTATGTGAACTAGCCAGGACCCCAGTTCAGAAGTGTATGACTTCAGGTCTATGTAATTTCCAGCATAAAGTGCTACATTCCATGAGAAGAAAATATAAAGTCTACCATTCTTTTTCACATTTTTATGTTCACCCAATTTTATTAATTTCCTCCATATTTCAGGCACTATGTTCGAATATTTGCGTTATCTAATTTTTTCAACATTTCTACAAAGAAGGAATTAACTGTCTTCAAAGTGGATAGGTATGCTTATTTCTATTAATAGTTGTACTAGCCTTCTAGTTACTCATACTCAAAACTCAAACATCTCTTTTGATTATTATATCCACTCAGTCTCCATGACCCATTAAGTCTGTTCTCTGAGGTCATCCACATTTGTCTCATTTCATCTAAGACTATGGCTTTATAGTCTAGTGCTTTGTTCAATCCTGTAAACCTCTGAGATGTTCACAGTAGTGGCAGACACAAAGCTGTTGATCAGGGTTGAGCACTGACTTTATTCATAGGATTAATAGCATCTTCTCCTCACCTTCACACAAAACTCCATTTCTCTCTTTGTCCAATTATCCTCACTTCTCTTGTTAGTCAAGTTCTCTCCCACAACTACCCTGTCTCCTATTCCTTGAATAACCTCATATCTTTGTGACTTGTAAAGGACTCTGACTTTGCCTAATCAAAATACCTTTACCTGTATTCTGTTTATCCTTTCACACTTGGCTTATATGACACATCTTTTCTAACTCCACTCCCTACCATTTCTAGGTCAACACTATACCATGCATTTTAATCATTGTGTATCACACTCTACTGATTTTTTTCTATTAATGTCCATACCTGTGTCCTCCAATACAGTGCCCCAAGCCACTCTATGCTTATATAATTTTAAATATAAAATAAAACAATACAATATGAATTAATATTTTAATTAATATAAAACTAAACACAATAAAAAATTCAGTTTCTTTGTTGGCATTAGCCACATTTCAAGTGTTCAATAACCACATGTGGGTGGCTAGTGGCTAAGATATTAGGCAGTGCAAACATGGGACATATCTATTGTATCAGAAAGTTCCTTTTGACTACACTGCTCTCGACTAAAAGCTGAGACCAAAAACTATGTCTGTTTTTATGTACCTTCAGGCTTACTACCATGCCCAAAAGATTAAGTGCCTAATAAATCTGTCTAATTGATATGAGATTGAAAGAATGAATAAACAAGTAAACAACTTGGGATGATAATCATTTCTACAGTAACCCACTGATGACTCATTTCTTACCTTTTTCATCACAAAAGTAAAATTTAAAGAACTTCTAATGCTAATTTTGGTGGTTTGTGTAGATACAAAAATGTTTAAATATTTCTGTTTTCTACCTTCAAAGAGGTTACTGCCTAACAGAAACAATAAATCCACAGAGAAATAATTATTAGACTCAATGCAGACTTGAGGTCTAGGGGAACAAGTCTTGCTGTTCCTCTCCCATGTTCAAATATTACCCAGCATACAAAGCAGAACAGACTTTGAATGACCAGGTCATTGGGGAGTGAGAGTTAAAGCTACCAGACCAATGAGTAGAGCACCATCAACTATCCATAGACTCTAAACTGTGTGTCAAACAGTATATAATAGACATCAGAAAACTTAGCTTGCCTGGTGTGATATTATGATTTATAATAAGAAAAATATTTTTGATCTTTGTCACATTTTCTCGCCCAGAGCTCCTAAAATTTGCTCCTATGGAATCTGCATATTGATGATGGCCATAAAGGAGTCTTTTGTTATGTTTATGAGGTGACTTTGGGAACCAGATGGGGTTGATCCTCAGTGGAGCCAATCATGTTATTAGAGGAGTAGATGGGACAATCTCCCATCCACTTCTGGGGAATGTATGAGGAGCAGGAGGTTGATTCTGGCCAACCAGCCAATGGCCAACACTTTATTCAATCATGTCTATGTAATGAGACCTCCATAAAAACCCCACTGGCCAGGGTTTGGAGAGTTTCCAGGAGGTTGAACACATGGAGGTGCTGGGAGATCGATGTACCTGGGGGGCTTGGTAGGTCCATACCCTTTCCCCATACCTGTCCTTTTTAACTCTTTTATCAACCTGGCTGTTGATTTGTAGTCTTTACCATCCTGTGTAATAAACTGGTAGGAAGGAAACAGGTTTCCTAAGTTCTGTCGTTCCTAAGTGAGCTGTCGTGGCAAATTAATTGAACCAGAGGAGGAGCTCGTGGGAACCTATGATTTATAGCCATTTGGTCAGAAGCACAGATAACAATGTAGGCTTGAGATTGGCATCTGAAGTGGAATGCAGTCTTGCAGAACTAAACCCGTAACCTGTGGAATCTGGATGCTATCTCCAGGTTGTTAATGTCAGAATGGAGTTGAATTGTAGGACACCCATCTGGTGTCTGAGAATTGCTTGTTGGTGTCAGGAAGCCTTATACACACATTAGAATTGGATCCAGAAACTCAAAAGATCTGGTTTTACTTTGACTTCAAAGAATTCTCTCCAAATGAGATTTGAACTTCAGGAATATACTTTGAAGTCACACTAGAGAAAAGGAGACAAATAAAAATTTTCCAATGAGACTAATGTAGAATAAAACACTATTTCCTTCTGACAAACCAATGTCAAAAATCAGAGGAGGCTGTAGAGGTGGCTACAATGTGCAGCAATGCATTTGTTTTCAAAAAGTTTGGGCCCTATTCTTGTGTTAATGAGAGATTTCAAAAGTTATTTTCAAAATCAAGCAAGTACAGTATAAATCAATGTATAATTTGGCCCTGGTCCCCACTGGAAATTTTATTGAGTTCTGTGGTCATTTGAGACCAAAACTGTGGCCATCACCACCACTGCTTTTTTATCCAGTGAAGTAATATGTTTACTATTTAGGAGGATTTTTTTTTTTTAACTGTTCAAGTTATGCATTTGCTCCACATAGCTTTGCAACCCCCCTCTTGTGTACCAGTCAGACTTAGTCTTTTCTAGTTACTGATAAAATTCTTAATTTCTAACAGGTGAATGACTACAGAATCCTTAGGTGCCAGGAAGGTAGATATTCCTTACATGAATTGAAACTTGGCAAGGAAATCGAACTGCAGTGCCCTTTCTCAGAAATCAAACTGCAGTGCCCTTTCTCAGAAATGATGGAGAAATAACCAAAATGCTTCTAGATTTCAGAGAAGTATCCTCTTAGCAATGTAGTAGGAGAGTCTGGACCTAAAGAATCTGATTAGAGTCTAGGCTCCACCATTATGAGGTTGTGCAGATTATTGTCCCTCTGGGTCTCAGTTTTTCAATTTTTAAATGAAGAGTTACTGGATTTCAGGACCTTTAGGGATTTGGCAACTCCAGCATTCAGAGATTCTTTTAAGTATCATAGTCTTGCGATAATAATTCTCTGCTGTTGACATCTAAGACAGTGGCCAAAACCATTTTGTTTTTAAAAAATTACACTATCATGTGATTTGAATAATAATAGAAATGTACACAGCAAAAAGAAGGGATAGTTTGTTATTTTTTTAGAATGGGTGTAGGATTAGGGTCAGAGAGATATTCACAGCGAATGTAGTACTCTGAATTTAATAATGTGATATACAACGGGGTAGTTTCAGATTACTAATTTATAAAGGATGGCCATTTAATTTAACTTGTACATAATTTGGTACAATATTCTATACAATTAAGTGTTTAATTAAATCTTTTAATAATGAGTGGAAAGAAGGTTAATCTGAATGTAAAATATATGTTAAGATGATTGATTGCTCACTACTCCAATGATGAACAAGAAATAATGTTTCCTTTTTTTCAGTCTATTTAATAACTAAAAATTATAATTCTAAGAAGCATTAGAAAGTGATCATGTCAACATGTGAAATCCTTGGAATCCTTCACAGTGACAAACACTATGCTTTGTACATAGCATTATTTTCAGAAAATATTTGGAGATTTTGATAAATTTCTGTCATAAAAAAGATTTTCTAAAAACTATAAGAATAAAAACATGAATATTTTTGTTCATCAGTGATGAGTATTTTGAGTTATTCCATAATTATAAATCAGTATTTACCAGTGTTATATTTGAATGGAAAATATTCTTCCTATTAAATAAAATTCTTAAAATATCAGGCAAACAAGTGTTATGGATATACAGACACATCATAATGTCATGTGATATCAGAGATGGGTTGATCAGAACTTCATGCACTTGGGGTGCCTGGATGGCTCAGTCAGCTGAGCATCCAACTGCAGCTCGGGTCATGATCTCACAGTCCGTAGATTCAAACCCCACCTTGGGTTCTGTGCTGACAGCTCAGAGCCTGGAGCCTGTTTCAGATTCTGTGTCTCTCTTTCTCTCTGTGCCCCTCCTCTACTCACACTTTGTCTGTCACTCTCTCAAAAATAAATAAACATTTAAAAAAATTTTTAAAGTATTTCCTGCCCTTATGGATTCATTTCTTTGCTTTGGAGTTTTGTATGTCAACTCAATATATTTAACTATTGTCTGTGAAATGTGGCTATAACATAGTTTAAAATGTGAATATAAAATAGCTAAAGGAAGCATTATTTATACTGAAGGTTCTTTCTTGGGATTAGTTCTAGTCATGAATGTATGCCTCATCTAAAAAAATGTGCAGTTGCTATAGTAATATCCCTTTGAATTTAATAATTTATTTCAAGACAGAGAGAATTAATTTTTTAAAGGTTTAAATTATTTTAACCAGAAATTAAATACATTAAAATAGAGATTCCCTGAGATGTAAAAAAAAAATAAATGGATTGTTTCCATTTAAGTCAGTCAACTTTACATTGACAATGATTGTATGTTGGAAAATTCACCTCAGAGAGACAGAAAAATACAGAGCACTAGTTTCTGGGGGGCAATTTTGTTCCCAGGAAACACTTTGGGCTGTTGCTACTCAAGGAGGGGACATTAGTGGCATCCAGTGGGTGGAGACTAAACAAAGAATTATCTGGCCCAAAATGCTAGCAGTGCAGCTGTTGAGAAATCCTGATCAAAATAAAATGTGTGCATCATATCATTTTCTTTTTTCACAGCTGGCTATTTTTGGCTCTCACTAGATTCTCAGGATTTCAATCTTCTCCCTCCCTCTGTCTCTTTCTCTCTCTCTTTCTCTTTCATTTTTCTTTTTCTTTCTCTAATAAACCTCCCCAATGAAGATTCATTAATATTTTAATGGAAAAAGACATTTTTCTCATAACTAAAGCAGGGACCGAAGTTCTCAGAAATAAAAGCCTAAATCACAAAAGAGTATAGTAGAGGTAACATCAGCAAGGTTAAAAATATCTGTTTCAGTAAAACTACTTTTAAAGATACTTCCAATTGTCCTAAAGATGAGTTGAAGGATTCTAAGATGGAATATTTCAAAAATTTTATGAAAGTTAGCCTCAGAGCCTGTAAACAAGGATATCAACCAGTGTCTCTGAGAAAAAATGACTTTCCATTTATAAACCTTGCACTGTAAAATTGTTTTCCTTCCATGATCTCAATTAATTTTGTGGGGAAACCCTTGGATTTAAATCACTCACAGTTTTTTGTCTTTGCTTCTATTATTTTAATCAAAAAAATAAAAAGACTATAGTTTCCTTATTTGTGATGCCATAAACTCCTTGGGCTGGATTCTTTTTTATTTCATTTTTCTTGTGGTAAAACACACATAAGATTTGCTACCTTACCCATTTTTAAATGTACACTCCAGCAGTACTGAGTGCATTCACATAGTAGTGCAACTGTCATGCCCATCCATCCCCAGAACTCTTCTCATCTTGCAAAGCCAAAACTCTGTGCCCATTCAGCAGAGGTAGGTAGTAATATTCATCTAAAATTGCGAAAGAAATTACAAAATACAATACGATAATCTTGGTTATCAATTTTTATGAATTCAATTTACTTATTTGAAATCTGGCCACAATCTTTTCCTTTGGACCTAATTGTTCTCTATAATAAATTGCTGTTAAATTTGACTTCTCATTCATTTATTGCATTAATTAATTGAAGACAAGGGAATAAGAAAATGAGAAAGAGTCTCATAGCTGAATTAATTGAACAGGGAAGTTGAGATGTGAAATAATGAAAGGAAAGTGAAATGTATTTTTACAATCAATTGATCATTTTATACAACTCTTCTTCTTACATAATTTTATATGACCTCATTCTTCATAGAAACTATTTTATTTACTTCTGCCATGTGTCCACCATTGTTTCTTGTTTAATACAAGCACACAAGGTTGTTATTTTTCTATTCTCTGCTTCATTGACATTCTCAGGCAAAGACAAAGCTACACATAATCCCTTATTTCCTGGGCTTTAGGATTTTTCATACTTCTAATTTACATTTTGGTAAAATGTGGTTTCACATATGGATAAAGCCATAAATTTTACCAGTTGGTAAAAGTTGAGATTTACAGGAATTGCTTGGTATTCAGAACCTACCTTCTGAGCAGAGCATCTCAGAATCAAATGCTTACACATGCCAACCAAGTAAATACAGTGACAAGCGTAAGTATACACACAGGTAAGAGGAAGGGACTGTTGAGAATAGAGTGCAAGCCTCAGGGAAAAGGGGACGGTTGCCACTCACTTCATAGAGTTACCAGACATTATGATTTTTCAAACGAAGGCCCAGAAAATTTGCTTCCCTTGAAAATTTTCCAATTTTAAATGTTTACACAATTTAAAATCTCTTTAGGCCCAACAAAAGTAATCTGCCTGCCAAATGTGTTTTATAAACCTGCAGGTTCTAACTACTGGTCTACAGTACAGTTTTTCAGAGTAGAGTTTGTCAAACTCCTACTGATTGTAGTTGTGGGCCATTGAGAGATAGTTTACATGCCCCCACTTCTTCTACTTTTAAAGCACTTTAACTTTTTAACATTAACTGAAAAATTGTGTAAGAATACCTGTATTTAAATCGGAATAAGGGAAGCTTTTCTGTCTCTCTAGCCATCACATCCTTCTTATTCCTCTCACAATTTTTCTTTTCTCACACTCACCAACTTTTATTCTTTCTCTTTATTATTCATAATAAAGTTTATTTTTTAAAATTTTTTAATGTTTTATTTATTTCTAGGAGAGAGAGAGAGAGACAGCGTGAGCAGGAGAGAGTCAGAGAGAGAGGAAGTGACAGACTCTGAAACAGGCTCCGGGCTCTGGGCTGGCAGTCAGCACAGAGCCCGACACGGGGCTCGAACCCACGAACCACGAGATCATGACCTAAGCGAAAGTCGGACGCTTAACCGACTAAGCCACCCAGGCGCCCCATAAACAAATTATAATAAAGTTTAGATATACTGATTTTAAAACAGTTTTTCATATTTCTGCACATAAATTAAGTATGATGAATCTACTATGTTTTAAGGGAATATATATTTTTATCATGCCATATTTTTCATTCAGAATTCTTCATAATTTTCATCAATTATGTTCCTCTTACTAATTTCCATATTGAGAATCCATATGTTGGTTCTAGATTTCCAAGCCTCTATATTCTTGTATTCAGTGCATGGAATTTCTCCTTCTTTAGTATTTCTGCTTCTTTAGTTATTAAGTTCTTATTTATGTCTCTGAAAGCCTATTCTATTCCATGAATTGACTTTTCTCAGTTTATTTTAGCATGTATCGATATCTTGATTTACAAAATAATTGAGCTCTACAAAAATTATCCAGTTATGAAACCTCAATGAAGAAACTTGTCATTTAAGGGAATACTATATTAAATATTTTGGAAAACAAGTAATAAACCTGCTTAATTTAATCTTTGCATAAGGGATTTTGTAGATGTTAGATTTGTTCACAGTAAATGTGCATTTTCCTGATATCTCTCTTTAGACTATATTTTGAAACACACATAGAAGTTGTCTTATATTACTGTCAGTTATTCAGATTTCTCTGCTTGCAGTATATACCCTAATATCCAAAACCAATCCAAAAATTGGAAATCGTACCAGAAGCCTACTAGAACTGATCCAAGAATTTAGCCAAGTTGCAGGTACAAAATCAATGTGCAGAAATCGGTTGCATTCTTATACACCAAAAATGAAGCAACAGAAAGAGAAATCAAGAAACTGATCCCATTCACAATTGCACAAAAAATCATAAAGTACGTAGGAATAAACCTAACCAAAGATATAAGAGATCTGTATGATTAAAACTATATAAAACTTAGGAAGGAAATTGAAGAAGACACAAAGAAATGGAAAAACATTCCATGCTCATGGATTGGAAGAATAAAAATAGTTAAAATGTCATTACTACCCAAAGTAATCTACACATTCAATGCAATCCCAATCAAAATTGCACCAGCATACTTCTCAAAACTAGAACAAACTCTTCTAAAATTTGTATGGAACCAAAAAAGACCCCGAATAGCCAAAGTAATATTGAAGAATAAAACCAAAACGGGAGGTATCACCATCCCGGACTTTAGCCTCTACTACAAAGCTGTCATCATCAAGACAGTACGGTATTTGCACAAAAACAGACACATAGAGCAAAGGAATAGAATTGAGAACTCAGAATTGGACCCAAAAATATACAGTCAACTAATCTTTGGCAAAGCAGGAAAGAGTCTCCAGTGGAAAAAAGACAGTCTCTTTAACAGATGGTGCTGGGAGAGCTGGACAGAAGGATGCAGAAGAATGAAACTAGATCATTTCTCACACCATACACAAAAATAAACTCAAAATGGATAAAGGACCTGAACGTGAGATAGGAAACCATCAAAACCCTAGAGGAGAGAGCAGGAAGCAACCTCCTTGACCTCCACCTCAGCAATTTCTTACTTGACACATCCCCAAAAGCAAAAGAATTGGGAGCAAAAATAAACTATTAGGAACTCATCAAGATTAAAAGCTTCTGCAAGGCAAAGGAGACAATCCATAAAACTAATAGACAACCAACAGAATGGGAAAAGATAGTTGCAAATGACATATCAGATAAAGGGTTAATATCCAAAATCTATAAGGAACTCACCAAATTCCACACCCAAAAAACAAACAACCCAGTGAAGAAATGGGCAGAAGATATGAACAGACACTTCTCCAAAGAGGACATCCAGATGGCCAACAGACACATGAAACAATGCTCAGCATCCCTCCTCATCAGGGAAATACAAATCAAAACCACACTAAGATATCACCTCATGCCAGTCAGAGTGGTTAAAATGAGCAAATAAGAGAACTCTAGATGCTGGTGAGGATGTGGAGAAATGGGCACCCTCCTGCACTGTTGGTGGGAATGTAAACTGGTACAGCCCCTCTGGAAAACAATGTGGAGGTTCCTCAAAATTTAACAATAGAACTCCCCTATGACCCAGCAATAACACTGCTAGGAATTTACCTAAGGGATAAAGAAGTGCTGATGCATAGGAGCACACTTACCCCAACGTTCATAGCAGCACTCTCAACAATAGCCAAAACATGGAAAGAGCCTAAGTGTCCATCAACGGATGAATGGATCAAGAAGATGTGGTTTATCTATACCATGGAATACTACATGGCAATGAGAAAGAATGAAATCTGGCCATGTGTAGCAACAGGAATGGACCTTGAGGGTCTTATGCTGAGTGAAATAAGTCAGGCAGAGAAGGACAAATATCATATGTTTGCACATATAGGAGGATTAGGAGGAACTTAACGGAGGACCATGGGGGAGAAAAAGGGGGGAAATAGTGGGGGAGAGATGTGCATGGAGGAGGGCACTTGTGGTGATGAGCACTGGGTGTTATATGGAAACCAACTTGACAATAAAATATTTGTGTAAAAAAATGAAAAAAAAAAAACAATTTCAGGAGACAGACTAAACAAAAAAACCAAAAAATGGAAATCGTGTTATTAATGTGTGTAAGCACATGTACACACAACACACACACACAATTTTCCTACTCAATTTCAGGACAATTTTAACAAGTTCCATGAGAAGAATTTATCTCTACTTGCTTATTTCAAGTAATTACTGTTTCTGAGAATTATTTTCTGGGGTACATGGGGTTAGGCTCCGTTGGCAGAGGGCAAAGTTGGTAGTTATCCTTGAATCCATTCCACTGTCAACACTCCATTTCTTGTCTCAGCAGTGACATGTAATATATGATTGACCTTTATCTCAAATTCTAAAATTGTCAATTTTCTTTATGATAGCCTCCAGTAAAGAAATTAATCAAAAGTTTGGGAAAATAAATTGGTTATTTAACTTTTGTCACTCGGCACTAAAAATAAGATGCGAAATTTCTTGGGGCTGCTCATAAGAAATATGCAGCTTATAATTTTTTTTTGTCTCTAACTATTTGATATTCTTTTCACACTGGCTTAAATGCCTTCAGCTTTTCAGGAACACTGAGTAGTAGGTTGTAGTCACGTACACAAGCAGTCACAGTATATATTTCACTATCATTTGAATTTTTTCTTAGGATGACCAACTCCAAAATCCCACTGTCTCATATGCCTCCTGATGCTATAGATCCTACACTTCTAAATTTCTACTGAACTAGATTTTTATCTCTACCAAGATGGAGACCTCTAGTCATCCAAGTTGTACCATATTCTTTCCCACATCCAAATTCTGATATCACTTGCTTCTCTTCTGAGTGAAAACCTTATAGCCAGCTGTTAAAATTACTTTTTTCCAACTGTTCTTTTGCCATTTTGATCTAACTTGATACTACCTGTAGTTTCTCATAGCTCTGATTATGTACGTTTATTCGATCGTGCTCTTTTGGATTTTCTGGAGGAAGTCACAAACAGTCATGAATGAGTAGATATACCATCAGGCTATTCTTATATTCAAAAACTCAGTTGAAATTTTACTTTTGCCAAACAATCCTGTTATTTATATTTTGCCATTGCTTCCTGTCTTAGTCATATAATGCTTTTGCAATATTAATTGGAAATTGTCCGTTCAAAAATCCCTTTAGTCAAAAATGATCTACTTCATCTGAAGCCTCACAACTTCCTTTCTGACAATATATTGTCTCTTGCTTTTCTTCTCTTTGACCAAACAAAATACTATACTAATCCATTATAATTGATCTCTGTTAACCACCTCTGACAGAAACACGGATCTAGATAAACTCTATAATCTACAGATGCTGTGACTAAAGCAGAAATATTGACTATTGTGAAGGAAGAATTATATAAATGGGTTTATTTGTTTCACTTGTATTCATGATGAACAGGAACCAAACAAAGAAATTAAAAGGACAATTCTTTCCTAGGTTACCTCTGTTACTCAGTTCTCTCAATTTCTCAGTCTTTTCTCAATGGTCACTCCCAGCAGATGACCTCACCTAATAGTCTCTCTGCCTTAGTATTTTCCTCAACAAATCTATAATCCTACCTACATTCACTACATCTCTTTCTTTACTGTTTTTTACAGTTAAGGGAGTGTCAGGGTGCCTGGATGGTTCAGTCAGTTAAGTGTCCAACTCTTGGCTCAGATCACGATCTCATTGTTTGTGAGGTCAAGCCAAGTGTCAGGATCTGCACTAACAGTGCGGAGCCTCCTTGGAATTCTCTCTCTCTCTTTGTTTCTCCCCTCTCACCCTCTCAAAATAAATAAATAAATTTAAAAAATTATAAAGGTAGTGTCTTTTCTTCTACCAAAGGCCAGTTTTCCATGTGTGCTCTAAAGCCTATCCTCTTAACGTTTCACTAAACTCTGCTTTTTAATTTCTTCTCTCCTTTCTTTCTATGGCAATCATGTCAATATAACAGCATCTTCTAGTATCTTCAACCATTATGCAAAAAAAAAAAAAAATCCAATTCTACACTATCTCCAACTATTTGGCCATATTCTTGATGTATCCCAGAGCCAACCTGTCCGGGTTGGTCTACACAGGCTACCTCCAAGTGCATGCCTTCTGGCCACACTTTGATCCAACTCACCCTTTTCATTTCCCTACTACTCCATTAAAAATGGATCTGTCAAGGTCATCGATATTATTAACCATATTTCTGTATTAAGCTTACTCAATATCTTACCAAATCCACATTACTGAAACCTCTCTCTCATGGCTTCCAGAACTCTAACATGTCTCCCACTTTCCCCCTAACCCCCCACTTTTACCTTCTTTGGTCTTCTTTGCTGTTTTCTTTTTCCTTCACCAATTTCTACGTATTGGAGTCATTTGCAGCTCAAACCTGGACTCTTCTCTCCATACACACTCTTTTCCATAATGTGCCTTAGCCCACTCAGAAGCAGTAGTCAACTTATACATATTGTTTTGAAATAAACACATTCCATAGAATAAATTATGTTCCATAAGTCCTACAACAGATATGCCTCTTAAGATTTTTTTGGTCATTACAAGGCTTGAAGTTAAAAGTTAGATTCCAGTAAGAAAAATTGACATTTTTTAGGTACCAGATGAATAAACTGGATAGTTTCTTGATACTTTCACTGTGATTCAGGATGGTAACGCAAGTCCTGACTATGATAGGAAATAGAATATATGAACATTTTAACTTAAACAGAAACTTTGTCCATGGTGTCTTCATTATACTGTTGTTAAGGTAACTACATTAAGAAATATATACACAGTAGTATCCTTTACCTGTAGTTTTATTTCCTTGATTTCAATTATCCACAGTCAAACATGGTCCTGAAGTAGATGATACTGATACTCCTCTGAAAAATTGTCAAAAGGTCAATAGTAGTTTAATGCTATGTCACAATACCTATGTCACTTCACTTCATCTCATCACATAGGTGTTATATCATCTCACATCATCAATAAAAGATCAGCAAGCACAGTATTTTAAGAGGGAGACTGCATTCACGTTTATTACACTACTTGTTACAAGTGTTCTATTTTATTATTAATCTGTTACTGTCACTGATTTATAAGGCTTTATTGTAGGTATGTATGCATAGAAAAAATTGTACATACAGAGTCCACTACTATCTGTGGTTTCAGACATCCAGTGAAGGTCTTAAAATTCATCCCCTTTTGGTAAGGGAGAACTACTGTACCAACAGCTATTAATCTCAAAAACAATGTAGAGTATAAAAGATCTCGAAATATAATTTATATAGGTTTTTTGAATATGCAAACGAAGATTGTTTACGAGTACATGAAATGTGATAACAATATCAAATGCCTCTTAAAAAGTTTTAAGGGATTGATCATCATTAGAAATGAAAGAAAAAATGACAGGAGAGATTTCTCAACTGGATTTCTAAAGATTAATTTTAAAGGAAATGATCATAAGATAAAATACTAAGATTTGATGTAACTCGATCAATTGGTAATTATATCAATCATATTATTTCTCTTTCACTCTTCTTTTTGCGTTACTGAAATATTTTCAAATATTTTAAGTGGGTAGAAACAAAAACAGTGTCCATGAGTCTCTTTATTCTTTTTAAAAAGTATAAGCTTTTCAATGAAGTGGAGCATCTTTCTGGAGGCCACCTGCTGCTGAGCATGTTCTATTTACTCATATGTTTAATTCTATGGGTTGCCTGGGTGGTTTAGTTGGTCAAGTGTCCAACTTCAGCTAGCTCATGATCTCATGGCTCATGGGTTCAAGCCCTGCGTTAGGCTCTGTGCTGACAGCTCAGAGCCTGAAGCCTGCTTCAGATTCTGTCTCTCTCTCTCTCTCTCTGCCCTTGCCCCACTCATTCTCTGTTCTGTCTCTTTCTCAAAAATAAACATTAAAAAATGTTTAATTCTATTCTTCTTACATACTCTGATATTATATCCAATGTGTTTACAAAGTATATAAAATATAGTTTGTGTTTCTTTCTCCAAATGATGAAATAATACGCAATGAGCATTTTTATGCTATTAATTGTAGAAATGACAGTGCTAGCTGGATTAAGGTTATTAATAAACCAGAAAAGCCAAGATGATAGGAAAAGATTGGTATCTCTGAGTCTCTTCCCTTCAGGACACATTGTAAACCCTTCCATGCTTGTGTTGGGTCTTCATGGTGATTCTTCCAGTGACTTAGTCATCCCACAGCAATGGTAATATTTGTGCTCCTATGGCTTTGATATTTACTTGAATGTGTGAGTGTGTTTCTGTTTAAAGTTATATTCTATATTACCTTCACCAAATCAAATCTCTTCTGCAAACAAGCGGGGCATAGATTCTAAATTAACAGCAACTACTCCTATGATAGGCTTGGTGATGCACATCGATGTAGGGATCAAGGCCATGGGCCTTACTAGAAATCATACACACCCACAGGGCCGTGTAATTCGGAAAATCATTTGTAACTGCATGAGGTTAACTCATTTACAACAGGGAAAAATAGACTGAAGTTCAGCCTATGTAAGTTTTATATTTCTCGAATGACTTAAGCTTTCAACTTTTTTCCCCATTTAATAATTAGTACTGTAAGGGCTGCTGGATTCTTTTCAGTGCCTGCTTGGCTGCTCAAATGCAGGAATTTTAATAGTATGGCAGCCGTGACTGAGTAGATAACTAACAGTAGTATTGTGAAACCCCTCGAAGAAGACCTTAATGGTGTTTCTAAGCTTTGATCTTGATTTACAAGATAGATATAAATATATATGCTGGTAGAAGCCTTATAAAGTAAACCTCTGTTTGAGACTAATTTCCCAGGACAAATGTATAACATATTTTCATATTTTACTTGATTTTTTAAAACTTTTTAAAAATGTTTTATTTATTTCTGAGAGACAGCATGAACAGAGGAGGGTCAGAGAGAGAGGGAGACATAGAATCTGAAACAGGCTCCAGGCTCTGAGCTAGCTGTCAGCAGGGAGCCCGATGAGGGGCTTGAACCCACAAACCGTAAGATCATGACCTGAGCCAAAGCCGGACACTTAACTGACTGAGTCACCCAGGCGCCCTTTACTTGTTTTTTTTTTAATCAAAAGAAATCTTTTATTGTATTCATTTATCTCTGTGCTTGTTTCCACCAGTTACCAACCTAAATTCCACATTTCCTCTGCTTTCCCTGAAATATAATTATGCTTTAATAACAGCATACTTAAAAAAAATAACATCTCCGTTTATTACTTTAAGCTTGTTTCTGTATCTTCAAAGGGACAGTTCCCACTGCTACAATAATTCTCTGAGTATGAGCATGAACATTCCCAAAAGCTGTGCCAATGTACACTAGCTCAGGAATTCTCCTTGAATATCCTACTTCAAGTAACTCAAGCTGGGAACTCCAGCAGCGTCCCTCATTCTTCCCTGTCTCTTACAACCACGTAATCAAATTTCAACTCCTATGGATACTGATTCTTTTATCTCTGCATCTTTCTACATCTCTCCTTTTCTTTCTGTTCCCACAGCTTCTTTCTTTCTTTTTTTTCTTTTTAATTTCTAGGAGAGAGAGAGAGACAGCGTGAGCAGGGGAGGGTCAGAAAGAGAGGAAGTCACAGACTGAAACAGGCTCCAGGCTCTGAGCCGCCGCCAGTCAGCACAGAGCCCAACACGAAGCTCGAACCCACGAACCGCGAGATCATGACCTAAGTGAAAGTCGGACGCTTAACCGACTAGGCCACCCAGGCGCCCCCTGTTCCCACAGCTTCTATCCCAGGACAGGTCTTCAGAACTGTTTCTTCCCACTACTGCAATGACTTGCTGATAGTGTCTCACCTTTAATTTGAACACACTCCCTGCCCCCCACTGCTGCTAATAAGATTGACTTCTCCAACACGATCCTTCCTTTTCTCTTAAAAATATCAAGCTCGAGCACCTTAGTGCATAATTGAGATTTTCACTAACTCATGAATTATCTGTTTAAAAATTCTTCTTATATTATGTTAAATATTAAAGAACAAATTTAATAGAAATACACAAATACATTCTATTTCTTCAATTTTCTTTTTTTAATGTTTATTTATTTTTGAGACAGAGAGAGACAGAGCTAGAGAGGGGGAGGGGCAGAGAGAGAGGGAGACAGAATCTGAAACAGGCTCCCAGCTCCAAGCTGTCAGCACATAGCCCGACGAGGGGCCTAAACTCACGATAGCGAGATCATAACCTGAACTGAAGTTGGCCACCTAGGGGCGGCTGAGCCACTCAGATGCCCCTATTTCTTTAATTTTCAACTTCAGTCCTCAAATTTGATTCACGAACTCAAATATTTACTGAAACCATCTGTCGATTTGGTCATTAGGAAAACTGAATATCTACAACATCTATTAATAAAACTTAAATGCAGTTTATGTTAGAGGAAAACAAGAATTTAAGTGTACTCAGTTTGTATAAGTAACTTTAAATATCAAAACTATAATTCATCAAATTGTACTTTCATCAGGAAAACCAGAATATACCGCCAGGACAAATTTTGTATTGTACTATGACATACCTTTTCTGTATAACATATTATGCAGATAATATTGGAAATGAGAAAATTCTTCTTAAGGTAATGAATGGTAAACTTTTATTTCCCAATCCTTTTACTAATAGAGGTCACATGCAGAATTCCAGTATACTTTCAACATTGTGAGCTTATTCTGTTCCTAACAAGAAAAGAATATTCTAATATATATTGAAGAATTCCTTTCTTTCATAAAGATGCAAAAGAAATACTACTTTAGATCTCTTTTGCAATCTCTTTTGGACAAATAATTATGTTTGTTCTCAAAAGTATAGACACATTTTCATGCCACTGACTAATATAATTGGGATAGAAGCAACTAATTTTCTTTCAGAATTCTACACAATTATTATTCTTTTAAATAGCTTTTGGGGGGTCAATTTGGTGATTGGAAAATCGTCAACTTAAAGATAGGAACTCTTGATGGCATCAGCTTACTTTAGAGAAACATCTCTCGTTTTAGTATGGGAGCTGTATGGATCACGTGGGCTCCTCCTCTGAACTCTTAGCCAGAATTATAGTCTTCTCATGCCTCATTCATAAACACCCCTAACTCTCCATTCCAATTGGATATCTACACAAGGACCCTCTTATGATAAAAGGATTGGAGTAACATGTGATTTTACTTTTCTTCTGCAACAAAGAAAGGATTACTGTAAAGTGCTTCATTCCATGTGGGAGAAAACAATTCCTTCTTGTTTATGAGTGTGTGAGAAATGGCTTAATTGTCCTTATCTGTGATTTACTAGGATGAATAGAAAATGTGTCACAAACAATAAATGTAGTAAAATATATAATGCAATTTGTCATAGTCTGTTTCTTGCTTCAGTTCTTTAGTTCATCCTTTCCTTGAAATGATCTCTAATGTTCTTCCAAAACAGATTTGATTGTCTAATGCCTACCTATGTTTTAAATTTGAGATTGGTTTTAGTTAATGTTGGAGGCCTTCTTTGACACCATGGTACTACAATATTGCTCCCTGTATATCTTTATCCTTGTACTCACTTTAGTGTGTTATAAATATAAATGTCTAACTGATCAGGTTGAATTTGTTGGGATGACTAGCATAAAATTATTTTAATATTTCCAATACTTGCTACAAACTGTCCTCTATTGAATCATTATTTCCTTTTCTGAGTTGTATACTATTTATAAAATCATGTCTCCATTCAGATTTCATAAAACAATGCACTCAAAGATTCAAGCCCCCTGATCCCAAACACATAGTGATTGAACATACTTCTAATCAGAAAATTAGAAATTGTCCCTTTTTTTTTCTTAAAACTCCTGTCCACTCCCACCTACACTTTG